TTGAAGGTTTGGGCTGCTCGTGGGGGGTGGTCTTTGTCGGTTGATTTCAGGTTGCAAATTGCAATGTCCAAATAAGCAATTTTAAAAGAAACATGCAGCAGCCAAATCAAAATTCCATAGTGTGTGGTGTGTATGCCTAAAGCTCAGAATCAAGATTTGGAAGCAGCTGAAAGCTCAGAATCAGGTTTGGAAGCAGCTGAGAGTAAAATAAAATTAAGTTTTGGAGTCAGCCCCAAAAACCAGATCCCAAAAAAAATTAGCATTATTTAGGGTGCATTTATTGTTATGAGGTCAACATTACACAAGGTCGGTGGTATATATATATATATGTGTGTGTGTCTATATGAGAAAGACATCTTGGGGTGCCAGTGCCATCTACTCTGAAACCAGTCTATATGGTCAGGGGGCTGCTTCAAAACTGGCTCAAGACGTCTGCAAATTAGCGACTGATGACGATCATCGTCGTGGAGTAGAGGCAGGTATATGAGGAGAGCCGCGACAAGCTCTGTCGGCCGCTGCCACCCACACCCACCAGCAAAGGATGTCCCGGTGTACTGGTGATGATGCGGCAAATCTTTCCCACATGGCACATGGCGTCATTGAAGAGCACCTGAGCTCTTGACAGGTGGCCCCTGCTGGCTGCCACTTTGCGTGACTGGCTTCCGTTCTGCGTAGGTGGGTCCTATAGAGTACCTGGCCAAACATCTGGAGGATCTACAAACAAAAGTTAAAAGGCTTACGACCTGCTGTCCATCCAGGTCTACACCTCTAAGCAAAAGCCAGGCACAAAAGAGGGAAGAAGGTCACCCCTCACCTACACAAGGCACTGAAGGCATCCTGGGTGTCCGTTCGTTTGCTAGAGCTGAGAACGCCAATGATTCACACTAACTCTCCAGGTGCACAAGCAACTCTCCAGGTGCCCAATCTCCCAAACAAGCAACTCCGGTCCACTTATTCCGAAACTGATACTGATACGATAACTGTCTGTGTCTGGATTTGTTGAGGCAAAACATATTAATCGACTAAGCATACGTATATTCATGGATTGCTCAAGAATCGGGTGCCTCCAAGACCCTGTAAATGGACACCATGATTAAGTCTTAAGGCCCTGCGAGTGGTTCCACTTTACTTGAACCACTTCCAAATGTTCTCCATATGATTCATATAGATTCCCTATATTACCTGAAAAGTCACCTTCAATCAAAACAGGCGTGCTCCGCGTTGAGTTTCTACCAAGCACACCTGTGTGTCCTCGGCCGAGGATTGCGCCCCGTTTACATCCTGCCGTGTGACCAAGTCCATTGCAGCGTTGTTCTCGTTGTACCTGTGCGTAGATTGTGGAGGTAGCTTCAATTGAGGGAGTCGTGCTTTAAATATACCCCTTGCTGGTACACCTTGACGTTGCCAGGAGTTTATGCATCATATATCAAAATACTACAGCGTCTAGTCTAACATCAATGATAATCCAAAAAGCAAGGTTGTTAACAACACAAATGACTCTGGGGTCCTTGCCCCGTTTTATAGCAACAAATGGTCTTCCATAACCCCGCCAGGTGAATAAAAAGAACACCCCCTAGCATAAAATGACTCGATCTACCTGACATCTATAAGAAGTAGTGTACATCTGTAATCTCCTCATGCCTATTGTTCATCTAGAAGCCCTTGCGCACACACACCGTTTTCTCTATAAAATGAACCCCTAACGTCCTCCACCGTTGGGCTTCGTTTCAACCGTTTTAGGAGGGGGATGGCCAACTCCCCTCCGTTTCAGAGATGGACAGGATGAACACAAACAATTAGTAAACCGTTCGTTCCAACTCCCTCCGCCCCTCTTCTTCGGTGACCCGTACCGAACTCCAAGGCGCTCGCGCAAGGCTTCGCCCAGAAGGGCTGAAAGGCGCTCGGTGCTGGGGATCTTGTCGTAAAAGCCTCGGTACGGCGGCGTTGTGCATCGATGCAGTGCTTGGTGCATCGATGGTGCACTCCATGGCGGCTTTGTGGTGCGAACGGGGACGGGTGAAAGAGGGAGAAGAACGGGTGAACGTGGAACATGGATATATAACCATGAAACTCATCCTCCAGGTTCATTGGGTTCTCTCAACGTGCCTTAGTATACCAGCAAGTTATTTTGAATGTCCAGAATTCCAACATCCAGGAGATTTGATTCTCCTGTTCAAGGCTGCGTAGACTTGACCAAGCCACAAAGCTCCACTAATATAGTTTGTTATCATTATCAAAGGGATGACTAGGCGCTTTGAGACCGCGGAATTCGCGGATCACCCTAGAGGTCGCTCAACTGGCCAAAGCAAGGCCGGTCTCGTCCAAAAATCTAGTCTTTGGAACAGAATGCCACTCGTTCGCAACTCGAGCATCCAACTTCAGGAAACTCCGGAGAGCAATTAAATGTAACTTGTATATTATATACATTTCATTATTACATACTATTTATAAATATGATTAAATATGTCTATAATGTGGGATGTTCACTGTGTAAATTACAATTGGTCAGTTCTGGCGCAAAATTTGTCCAGGTGCCTCCACCATCCATTTCTTGGATGCCCTTGGAGAATGGGGCAAAGACCAATGGTTCCGGATTCTTCTCCTGGAAGTACTTGGCAAAGTTGAACTTTCCTCGAGATCTGCCGGGTGAAACAAATGCTTCCCATTCAGAGTCCATGATACGTTTCAAGAAACTGCAAACTGGCAAGCCTGCATCGACCTGGAGTAGGATTCCCGCAGAATGAAACAATTTACATAAAACTGCAGGATACCTGTATGGACTATGGATGGATATGAACGAAAATTAAGCTTCCAACAAAAAGCACTCCGGTCCGACCAACACCCAAGGCTCCAAACATCTTCTTGCTCAAGTCCGCCGCCAAAGCACGGTACTTTTTCAGGTCTGTCGGGCTCACCAATCCTCGGTGCAAGGATTTCTCTGGCTCTGCGCGGGTTTAAGATGTTGTTCAGGTCTGGGTCAACCACCTCTCCTACACCCTTAAACTTTCGAGGAAATGGCTCGTTTGTGTGTTCATGTATCCCAAATGGAAAGGAGAGAAACCAAAAGTGCTCGAAAGGAAGACGTTTCATGAAGGACTTTCATGAAACATAGATCAGCTTCAATGATTAAAACATATTAAAACAGGCCCAATCAGCTGACGCTTCAACCATCCGTGATTTAGAAGTCTCTCCCAGTATCACGACCTTTCCTTCCGGAGTTTTTTGTTTTGTATCACTGGCCCTCCAAGGCATCGCGACTCGAACGGAACAAACGCCCAAGGCGTCCAAGGAACGATCGCCATAGATTCTTTCACTCTCGTGGATCCACAGCAGAACCACCTTAGGAGGCGGTGCAGCGGGAGGTTGAGGTGGCTTAGTTCAATGCAGCGGTCTGCCGCGGCTTAGGAACTAAGCCCAAGAAGCTCAGGCTGTGCACCCTGTTCCCATATATGTGACCATGACTGGGACCGGCGGCTTGGGCATTTTGTGATGTGTTTTTTTTCTCCGTGAAGGATAGTTGGGGACTGCTTCTCACAACGATCGTTCCAAGAGCCTTTTAGGGGGGGAACGTGCATCCACCATCATCCACAATAGCTTAGTGTTTCCAGGCCCGAGAATTGGCATCGGTCCTCGTTCCAATCCCAGGGTTTGAGGGATCCCAGTCTCCAAATGTGTTCAGGTTCAGTGTACAAAAAGAATGTGACATGCCAAACATATCTAAAAGTCAACTTCATGGATAGATTAGATTCTCTCTCACACATCTCACACACGCATTCCATGTCACTAGCTGAGAAGGATCAGCGGAATTTGAGGGTTCTAGCACATTGAACAACATGAGTCACAGCCATTTGCTGACTGGGGAATCCATCAACCCCCAACCCATCGAAACTTTGGTATACCTAAGGGTTTACCTCTTCACCACCAGCAATTCCCGAAACAACCCACACTCCACGCCGCTCGAGCCCTCATCATCGCTCGCTGCCCTCGCCCTCATCGTTCTCGCCGCGCGCCCTCATCGCTCTCGTCGCGCCTTCTCGGCGTCCGCGAACTCCCCAGGCTTCGCTTGCAGCAAGCCGCTGAAGACGCCACTCATGTGGCGGATGTTGAACCTGCCAATGCCCATCGATCGAATCGCCCGCATGGGCCGACTCGATCGCCACTTTCTTCCGGGCGCGACGTGTGTGGAGACTGACGAGTCAGTCGGGACGGGGCAAGCCCGGACACGTCCGGAGTTGAAGTCATTCGAGGCCGGAGAGATGACAGCCTGGCTTGCCAAGTAGTGAAGACTTTTGGATTGAAGGATGGATGGAGGAGCCTCCAACCAAACTGAGAATGATGGCAACTAAGGCAAGGGATGTGCAGAGATTCAGTATCTGCATGGTATCTGGATACCATTCAATTATTCAGTGGAGCAAACATGGAAATGGAAAGTGTTGAACGTGTTGCTGGAAGACCATTGTCCGCCAAACTTCCCACCAAAACCATCTCCGGTGGAGGGAGGGGACGGCCAGAAACCTATTCCTCCTCTGCGCCAAGTTCTCGCCCTCTGGGGAGCGGTGAGGTTTGAGTCTCGTTTCTGCCGGGTCACTCGTAATGGAAGTTGCTGGCCGTCTTTCGGAAGCTGCTGACCTCGCGCGTTCGCAGTCGAAAGAAGTCAGAGGCTTTCGAACTTCTGACTGTGCCCCTCTTGTGAACCAGCGTGGCGTGGCTGTGGTACCGCTGTGCCTATCGTGACTCGAGTGGACCTCACAAGTTAGTTGAAGTAATATACCCTTGTGAGTACCTTCTGGCGCTTTGTGATTGCAAAGGAAGCATGGTCGACCCCCCCCCGCCTGGGATGTCATATCAAACATCACCGTTGGCACTCACATGTCTATGTCTATCTAAATCTAAGTCATGGGGCCGTCTCCATTCGCCAAACGAAAAGCACATCGTTTCACCCTCCCGAAGCGAACCGTGGCCGAAGCGAACCAAACGCGGCCGTAGCACCACCATGGAGTGAAGACTTAGGGCTGCCTTGATGATACCTGGCACCGAACGAGGGAAAAACCGTCCACGACCGATCGCGGTGAGAACCTGGGAAGCGTCGCAAAACCTGGGGGGGGTAGGAAGCTACTAGTAACAAGTGCCACGCTAGTAGTAACAGGTGCCTTACTACTAGTAACAATAAGAATTTAGATTGAAACAGAATGGTTTTTCGCTGCCCAAGAGGAAGCTGAGTCCGGGTCCAGGGGCGGAGTCCAGGGCAGTAGATCGAACCATTGACAAATCACCTGAACTTCGGAGATTCACATGCATTTTTGTAACATGTTAAACATGAGCATTGTGAAGCTCTGAAGGCAAATCAACACCAGGCTGTTGATGTTTTCCCGCTGCTCTCGAATCCCATCACCAAAGAGTAACATCCAATTCCTCGCTCTTCCTTGCTGTGTCCTAGTAGCGTCCGATCGCTCCTAGTATGATGAGTTGGCCGCCATGCGTCAAATGTTGGACATTTAAAACATGACCTCCAAAAAACGACTAAACTCCACTCTCTCCCTGCGCGGTGTGAGCGGGCGGTGTCAAAATGCTACACCTGTGGAGTGCCTATAGACCGTCCATGGAGTTGGACGGTCCAAGGAGCTGGACACTACGAGTTGGAGTTTCATGGAGTGCCAAACCACGGCGAGCTTTTTTTTGTGTAAAAAAGAGCGCACCAAACAAGTGACGCTTGACATGAGGCGCCAGGCTTCATTTGCTGGCTTCCTGCTGAAATCGTCGGATTCGCGCCCCTAAGAAGTTGATGTTCAGGGAAAGGATTCAAATGGAATTCTCAGGTCTGGAGGCCATTAGGTTGGAGGTCCATGCCAAACCGACCTTGGGACCATTTGATCCCTTCGCAGGCCTGAGACTTGCTCCTGGACAGGTCCCTTGAAGGGCAAGCGCTCGAAGTGACCCTTCATGAAGGTCGAATAGATCGTCAGCAGCGCCGACCTCACAGATCACAACGAGTTTTATGGGTGAGAAGTTGGCAAATGAAGACGATCCGGAAGCCATGAACAAGCTTGATCAAGCTCGAGCATTGAAAGTCGATCAAGACCTCACGTTGTCAAATGCTCTCCACCAGCAGGTCTTCATTGACTTTCCTATACGTTTCTTCTAAATATATTGCTTAAGCGTTAAGCAATGCTTGGACGGGCCGACAGTTGGGTCCCGTTTTGGAGAAAGCCGCATTCGAAAGTTGGCTTTTCGATGCCTTTTGAGATACCTGCCAGTGACCACAAGGGGGGCGTCCCCTCTGGCTTCTTTGCTTGGAAAGGGCGTACCCACACATTTCCATGGTGGCCATAAATGTGGCCATGTGGCTGTGGTCGGTATCTCACCCCAAAAAAAAAAGACATGTTCCACGAATCCACCATGAATCCAGCGAAAAAAAATCCAAGAAACTCCTTGAAACTATCGCAGTACATGGATCCTTCGATCTCAAACATGATTGCATCATCATTGCCTATATAAATAAAATACATTAAAGTCATATAATATATTATAAGGCCACTATGGGCTTCCATGTTGGCAGCAAAAAGAAAGCCACTCCTGTTGCTGATCCCAAACAATTAAGCTTGGTCCCTTTTCCCCCCCTTCTTTGGACTCAGAAAACCGCTTCATGGATGAACTTAGCTGTTTCCTGGACTTCCCAGGAACCGCGCCGAGCCCCACTCCGTCTCACCGCCTCGGAAGCCGCGGCGCTGCTCGGGGAACGGAACCGCGCAAGTCCAGAAGTGACGCTGCAAGCGTTGGTTCACGATGAAAGACCCCGCAGTGGGATTCATACAGCAGAGGTACCTGGTGAGTTCGGACATTGCTTCGTTCTGGTGAGTTCTTTGTTGCAAAAGCTGGTGGACAGCTGTTGAGCCTGGATGGATCTAGAAAAGGACCTTTCCAGAAACAAGAAACATAACATATGGTGCATGCTCAAGTTCGCGCCATATGTTGGGGCGCAAGTTCGGCGCGCATGGAAAGAGCGCACTGAGTGTTGCCGATGTCCTTGATCAAAATCTTCTGCCGGTCATACCAATGACCATAGTCTTGCTTCTGCTTCATGAGCTCAATCGCAGATCTCAGATTCCCAAGCTTTCTTGCGATCGGTTCGAACAGAAAGACATAACTGCGATCGTTCTAGGAACAAGAAGCTACTAGGGGCTCCTGGCATCGCTACTAGGAGCAAGGACGCTATACTAGGGGCTCCTGGCCGTACTACTAGTAACAAGAAGCTACGAACGGAGCAAAGGGCATCGCTACTAGGAGCAAGGACGGTGTCACAGACGGTTCGACCGGAGATGGTCGAACATGGTCTGACGTGGAGGACGCCCCACGCACCCACGTGCCACGAGATTCAATTCTTGATGCCCTCAGAAACACACCGGTCCCTGCTCACTTTCCAAAGATGACAAGTCACTGTGTATTGTACTTGTCCAGGGCAGGCATGTTCAAGTCATCAACAAAATAGATCAGCTGCAGCTTTCCAGGCGGAGCATAAAGCTTTCCCGCCTGTCAGGCTGTCCGCATAGGTGCTTCTCAGGGCTTCCCAATGCGCCCTCGTCTACTAGCTGTTCGGTGTTCATCCTACAAGAAAATCTACCAAGTGCAAGGCTCTTTCCCCCTGTCCAGACAATTCCTTCGGCACACTGGGCGTGAAACAGGAGAGCTTCAGACCAGGTTTAACACATCGATCCGCCTTCTTCTCCAGTGGATTCTCCATCATCGTCTGAAGAAGAGTCGAGTCCGTGTAGTAGCTCATGTTCATGGCCTAAGCTCAGATCTCTTTCCGGCCAATGTGCTTCCACCGGTGTTTCAAACAGTCGCTCACCCCAATGTCTGGTTCGTTGGTCGCTCAAAGACTGAACAGGCTCAGCGGTCGCATTCAACTCCGGTCATCGGGCGTTAAATCCCTTCTCCTTGTGGGACTATGACTAGGAGAATACCCAGCCCAGAACAATGAACCGAAACCATGTTTTCGGTGGCACTGTAACTATATATATATATGTATAACATTGTATAAATATAATTTGCCTTCGTTTGCCGGATAGTAGGCTCCCCACGAGTGTTGGATCATGCCCCTGTTGCAACGACTGGTCAAATGGGCTGAACGCCACAAGAAAATCACTTGATGTGGCTTGTGACAATGTGACAAAATATCCTTTTCTGCTTTACGGATCTTTACGGTGTGTTAAGAAGCGAGCGTATATTAGGATGTCCATCTAAAAAACATGGTTGGTCGGCGTTTGCTCCATCTAAGTACTCTGAAACAGCTCCATATCTCACATTTAGCACCTTGGTTTGGTCAAAAAAGGGGATCGTCCAGTTTGGCTCTGCCAGTCCCCAGAGGCATAGAAGGTGAAGACATCTGGCGGCAAGGATTTCAGCAAACCTCAGTGTTGCTCAAAGGGTGGAGTCGCTGGACCCCAGGGAGATCAAGGGACGATGTTTTCTGGACCTATCGCCTATCTGGACTATCGGTCCTGTATAGTTCACCAAATGGCGGCAAAACAACATTGTCCAGATATACAATACAAATAATTGGTAGCAAGGATGCTGCTAGTAGCTCCTGGCATTGCTATTACTAGGAACAAAAAGCTACTAGTAACAAAGGGCATTACTACTACTACTACTACTACTACTACTACTACTACTACTAGTAGCAAGGAGGCTACTAATGGCACACAGCTTAAGAGCCTACAATGGTCATCAAATGTCACCAGACTATATCTTGCTACTAGTAACATCTAGTAACAAGGTGCATCGCTACTAGTAGCAAGGACGCTACTAGTAACATCAAGTAATGGCACACCGCTCAAGAGCCAATGGTCATCAAATGTCACCAAATGTCACCAGACTAAGACTAGTAGCGATGCCCTGCTACCAGTAGCTTCTTGCTACCAGTAGTAATGCCGGGAGCTACTAGTAGCGTTCTTGCTCCTAGTAGCGATGCACCTTGTTACTATCTTGCCCCCACGTTTTCGGGGTAAGGACAATATGATCTCGGGTTCCAAGTTCCAGGATTCATGGGTTGTTCTATTTTGCAGTAGATCTTGGAACCCGATATCACCCATGAATTTTATTATGCAGGTCTTTTATGGTAAAATTCATGGGTTAGTAATAACTATTCATGTTCGTTCTTCCACATGATGCTTTTTCATTCACCTTCGCCGCGTCACGCACGCACTCTTACGCCACGCCACCGGGACCCCCAAAAATACAAGCTCTTTACGGAAGCTGTCTTTTTCAACGCCCCAGAGAGCGCTTGGGAGGTCCGGCTTGTGTTTTCTACATCACTTCAGGTCTGGTGCCGAACGTGCAACACAAGGAGCCGAGACAACTCTGCGTCTTGCCACATCCGGCCAGTCCAATGAGCATCACCTCGGAGCGGGATCCGAGTCGGGGGTCGGAGACCCGGTCGGAGGTTCCTTTTTGGTCGGGGTTGATCCGGGGAGATTCTCAAAACGGAGGAAGTGCTGGGTTGCATCATGAATATGCCCTATAGGCCTTATAACTTATAACAGGGTTAAGCCTATCCATTTAGAGGAAATCCTAATGAGGATTAATTTTCTTTGATTGGGTCCACTGGTGCGTGGCGATGATCGAAGAGGGAGGTTGGTGAGGAGACACATGTCTTGGCCTTGGTCCAGGCGGCCTTGCCGGGCGCTGAAACGTGGCCACGTGTACGCGGTACAAAGCGAGGCCATGCCATTGAGAAGTCGCGTTCCGCAACAAGTTTGTTCAACTTCCTTTTGGATAGAGTATCTACAATTCCCCCTTTTGCCTGTGCTTTCGTGTTCACTGTTGCTTTATGTTGCTTTGGTAGCAGTGGTTACTTGCTTGCGCGAGCGCAGGTTCTCGTTTAAAAGAAAAAAACGTGAGTGAACGAAGTGTCTGGTGGCTGTGGTGGATTGCTGGTGATTGTGTTGTTGTTTGCTTGGCTTTCTGTTGCTTCTTGCTTTAGGGTAAGCCCACGATGGATCTGCCTGTTTAGTATATTGACCCGTGCTGTGATCTTGACACTTGCTGCTTAGTTGGATGGCGTGGTCTTTAAGTTTCCCTTCAGTTCCCCTGCCTGCCTTCCCGCGCCTAAAAAAGGCACGGCAAGTGAAAGTTCATGCCATGTTCATTGAAACCTGGCAAGATCCATCATCTATGAATCATATTGAACAAATCCAATCCGGGTCTTCATCCTGCAGTAGATTCAGTTGATCATCACCCTCAACAAAAGTAACAACGAAAACCCCCCCGCTCCGCCCATCCGCTTTATCACAAAGTCTCTGGATGATGCTGCTCGATGAGCGCCCTGTGACCGTCAGGGTTCTTCGGAAAGGTCGAAAGGCCCAGAAGGGTGTGTGTTTTTTCCACGTGGACTGGCTCGCCCGGAAGTGGTAAGAGCTGAAGAACTGCTTGGAGACCAACAAAAATCAAACGAGCCAATGGCCAAGCCCAGAAATGCTTGTGAAGACGAGTCTTCCGAAACACTCTGAAACACGGCCGTGGTCTGTGACAAGGACTTGAGGGCAACCGGCTTCTTTTTCGGCGCGATCTGAAGAAACATCTGAAGCAACACCACGAGTCCAAAAAACGACACAAAAACAAATACCGATACACTCCATGTATGGAATATAAGCCTACATTCACCCCCCCAAACCACCCCAACTGATCGGCATATGTCTCATGGAGCATCTCGGCAATGTAAAGACCACCAAAACGCCACACGGGAAATATCCGGTTCGCCTTACTGGAACTGGAACTACCTGGAACTGGTCGGTTCATGGATCACGCCACCGGATCGAGATAGGAGGCCACAAGGTTTGGCGTCCGCTCGAGGTCAAGCCCATACATCGCTGGCTGAGCCAGTGGAGACCGTCGAGTCTCCCAGGTTTTGGGGTCAATCGGACTATCAGGGATCCACCTCCTTGCAATGGGGTGTATTGCAATGGCTTTGGTGGGTCAGTGCCTTCTATTTGGTGGGTCAGTGGCTTGTTGGATGCATGGAAGATGAAGCCTTCCGCAAATACTCGTGACTCAACCCATCGCTACCATCCAGTACAGCAGTTCCTCAAAGCACTCCAGACAGCTCGCCTCATGAGGAAGGTCATGGCCACCGTCTCATTCGTGGGCACCTCAACAGTGCATTGCTTCAATGTTGCACATGGGAGTATCTACTGAGTTACTGTGAGCATCTGTGAGCGCAGTCACTGGGAACCTATAGCCATCCCGTGCGGATGGGTAACAAAATCCGTCCGCCCAAAGCCGAGCACCACGCGCCTCTGAAGGAGAAAGCGTCTGACGTCATACGCGCAATAAAGCGCACCGTACACCCGTCATCCACCTCTCCACAAAGCAGCGTCTCACTGCAGCCACAGGTGCGGTGATCTCGCCCATGGGCGTCTCGCTGGAGTATTCCAAGGTCTCCACTGCCGTGGACCATTCCTCAAACTTGGCATCTTTCACCTGCAGTCCGAACTCGTCACGCTGCGTTCTGACCGCTGCGCGGCCGCGCAGACCGGACGGACGCGGCGCGGGTGACCGGCCGCGGCCAGCGGCCGAAGTGTCATTCGTTGATGTGCGACATGGAGAGCGGGCGAGGGGGGTCGGGTTGCGACGACAGACATGGACAGACCTTGTTGGGGATGCTTTCTTGGGGGGACATGAACCAAATCTTTGGTCAATATATGACACTTGGATGAAGAAAATGTCAGGTGTAGCTTTTGGATCAAACCCATCAAACCGTAAACCTGGCTGGAGATCCAACAAAGCTTTTGCATGGTCTCAAATACTGGCTCCAAGGTTCCATATCCTGCATCCCGCAGTCAAGCAATGCACATGTCAAGTAACAGTGTGCTGCTGGTTTCTGTAGAACCGTTCACTTGTAGTCACTGGTTGAATAATTGTACATTTATATTTATAATCATTTATAATATATGTACAATCAATCATCAGTTACTTTGCGCAACAATGGCATCACTCAAGCAAAATTCACCGTGTTGATCTGCTTTTCAACACACATGGAATGGTGGTCCACCGTCAAAATCCAGGGGGCTCAGGTTGTTGCTCATGGACAAGTAGAAGACAAGAAGGCACAAACAGTATTGACAGAGAATCTTAGCTTTCGTGGGAAATCATGTCCTACCCCTGATTTGAACAGTGTACAGCAGTATACATCTTAGGGATCCATGCCTACTATCATCCATTTCGTACCCATACATCGTCATCGATCAGGCGCATAGTAGTCGAAGATGCCGCCCTTCGAAGGATACTTCACAGTCTTCATCTCACCCTTCCACCAATTGCCTGACTCGTGACTCGTTTTGTGAACTCGTCACTCGGAACCCGAACAAGATGGTTCACATGGATGAAGAAGCAAACACGAAATGTGCAACTGTTTGGCTTTGAACAGGTTTGCGTTGGTTGGAGATGTTTTCATGTCCCTCGTATGTTTAAGCCTGATATGATCTGGGATCAAAGAGTGCTATCCTTGCTCTGTATTGTTTGATTGGGTTTTGCTAAACAGGAACAATTTGGGTTTGGATGGAGTTTGGCTCAGTTCGAGCAAACACCGAGGACTAGAAATCACAGTTTTCGGCCTCTCTGATTGATCCTTCTCGAAGACTTGGGAATCAACGCTGAAATTCTTATGTCTGATAGGTTGTCTCAAGACCCTCCTACCTTTATAAACCACGTTTAGCCGTGGGATGGCCGGGTCTGGAGCACCCTCTCACATGGATGGTCCGTTTCTGTCAGCCCACAATGACCCCTCATGACCCTCGTATAACCCACCCCGTCTGACTTCAGGTGAGACTCTGAAGTTCTTTCGATAGTCAACGCCATCGACTTCAGCCAAGCAAAGACCACAGGCTGCAGTAAAGCAGAACATGAACCAATACCTCGGTCGATCAGCCAAGGCCGTGCGATCAGCCGATCTTCTTTCTGGCGAAGCCAAGGCCTGTTGGACCAAATTTCACTCAATTCTGAACAGCTTTCCGGCAAAGGACTTAGGATGGGTAGGTTGTGGATCAAAACTTCAGTCGATTATCCATTGCAGTGGTTTTGCTGATGAAACGTGGTCGTTTCTTGTGGCACTACACTCCCCTGATGGCGCTGAGAGCTCCATTCTGCAGGAAGGGAAAATGTTTCTGTAGACTGCCCAAAGCCTAGCACACGCAAAACTATGTGACATGGTCCGCCTAAGCGCTTGCCCATGTCCTGATGAAGGCCGAACGCTGACTTGAGTTGTGTACACCGGTGAAGGGTTCAGACTGAGTTGTTAGAAAAAATAAAGTTTGACCAAGCCAAATAAATTGTAAGGAATATATTGTAAGGTGTATATATATATATTATAAGAAATATGATCGTAGTGGTTTCATGGTTTTGCTTTACAAGGTCTGATATACCTTTGCGTTTGGGAAATCTTGTCCTCTGTCTGTCAGGCAACTAAGGCAATCCTCCCAAGTAATTGGCAATAGTGCCATCTTCTCAAAAAAAAAGTTTAAGGTTCCTTCAAGACCCCCAGTTTGAACCCTGGGGAAAAGCAAGGTAAATTCCATTGCTTGGAGGATCTCTCTATTTCAACACACACTATAGTATATATTAGTTATTTGTGTTAATATATATTATACACGGGACCTCCTACTGCCCTGAACCGGGCTGTGGCATAATGAACTGTCCGCGAGTCGCGCTATACACGGGACCTGAACCCTTTTTAGGGAGCTCTTGTCCCCCAGTCTGAGCCATTCATCTTTCGCGTCCTTGCTCCTAGTAGCGATGCCAGGAGCCCCTAGTAGCGTCCATGCTCCTAGTAGCGATGCCAGGAGCCCCTAGTAGCGTCCTTGTTCCTGCACGAGCCCCGAGCCGACGACCGCCGGTCGGTGGGTGCTCGTCTTGGTCTGCGCGAGCCACCGTGGCGCTACCGAGGCGCTCCAAGGAGTCATAGGTCGCGGGAGTCAGAAGGTTGTCCAACAAGCTACAGCAGGCGCTGATGAGGCAAATGTCCACCTCAGTGAGGCTGATAGAGGTTTATTCAATGTGATCTTGGTTTCGACGACAATGAACGACTCGCGTCCACCCTTTTTCCGATGGTTTTTTCACGTTGAGCGAAGGTTCAGACCTTCATGGTGACTCCATGACATATTCAGGAGTTGGGAAGAGGACCCCCCTTTTTCGAACGGACTTGCAAATGATGTGTCAAACACATTCCGTCGGGCGAGTCGGGGTGTGGATTCTTCTTCGCAAACCAAGCAGGCCAGAAGTGACTGAGAGGGGAGGGTGTAACTTCACGGGGCATGCTGGATACTCGAAGCCATCCACACACCAAGGTCTCATAATGTATACTTCAAGTTGAACAGCTTAAAACGACTTTAAGTGGGAGTCCCGAGCTTCCAACCTGGAGTCCCGAGCTTCCAACCTCCGCAAACAAGGCCTCCTACACCCAACGAATGCCCGCAACCCTCGATCTTGACAGGGGGTTGCATCATTTGGGGTTTGCTTCATCAGCACAAGTCCTGGATAAGGACCTAAAACAAACCAGTTCTTTTCAAGGGAGTCCAATCCTCTTCACCTAACTTGTGAGGTTTTCCAACCAAAGGGTCACAACATCAGAGTGGTGGCTGCAGGCAGAAGCTACCCATCTTACACCTGCTGGCATCTGAAAAAGAATAACTGCAAGACTAATTCATGTAGACTCTTGATCAATAAAACAAATCCGTCATTTGGACAAAACATGACCAAACCTCTTCATATGGGGCGTTGACATCTCATCAAGAGACTTGAAACAACAGTTGGCCTCACTCAGCCCGAAGATGATGTGTCAACCAGGAACCAGGGACGTCCGCAAGTCGAGACGCTTCATTCAGTTGCCGTGCACATGTCGATCAAGGTAACCCCTAGGGTGGAGGCCATCGCTATTAGGTTGGAGGCCATCCCTAATTAGTAGGTTGGAGGCCATCGAAATCAGGTTGGAGGCCATCGCTATAAGGCTACTAGTATTTGAAGGTGGTTAGCACATGGTGCCATGTTCTTCGCAGCTTCGGCCGGGCCGCCATGGGCACCAGGATTTTCACGTTCTTCAGCATCCAATGTGTGGTGCTAGCGCCACACCTGAGCAACGCGCAAACGACGCGTTGCTCGCGGTCCCAGGCTCTGCAAAGGCTGAGGTGTGAGGGTGACAGAGGGGTTTTGGAGGGATGAGAAAGGCTGATCCAGCTTTCAACAGCAAATCAAATTGAATCCAGATCCATCCAAATCCATCCAAGTCCGTCTGTTTTGGGCAACACCTCAAGGTACCTGGTAGCGAATTTGACCTTCATCCTTTCGTTCGTTGCTCAAAGGACCCCCCTTAGGTTTGGTGGAAAACGGCCGTCTTTGCTCGTTTTTGCATGGTAGCCGGTTAGCCTGGTTTTCGCTGTGGAAGCAACTGGGTGTTTCGAGTTGAAGAGAAGAGTGGTTGGACGGGACTGCCTGAGCCTGTCGGCAAAGGGTAGTTGTGATGGAAAGAGGGATACAAAGGACATCCGACGGAGTTCCTAAATATGATGGGAGCCCCGAACTTTTTGCAGCCTACCGAGAAGAAGCAGTTCAATACCTCGACGATTGAGCACAAGAAACGTTATGTGGTGGCACCAAGGCTGCTGAAGGAGCTCGAGGGAACCGCCAAGATGGCTGTGAGGGCCATGAACCTTCGAGATCCTCAATGGGTAGCCAAACCAAGGGGGGGTCTACATTCTCCTTGAGTATTTGGAGGGTGTGATCGCCCGGCCAAGCCTTCCAGAAGCCTCACGTTTTGTCATGAAGTTCTTCTATGGCATGCAGCGACGTCGTAGGGAGAACATGACTTCCTGGATCACTCGACACCAGGAAGGGCTATGGGAGGCAAGCCAAGCTTTGAGGAAGGTGCAGAAGGAGCATGGCAAGACCTATGAACTCCCGGGGACTTGGGAGCCACTCGTAAGCCGAGTGACTTGGGAGCCAGGAGCAGTGCCAGTGGAGAGCATCAACGTGCACCTTTCCGTGACACAGAATACCATCAAGCACCATTCCGAGCTGATGGCTTGCTGCAGGAAGATGACGAGGAAGAGGGACAAGAACAATGGTGGCAGGGCTGGTGGCAAAGCAATTCCGAATGGTCGGAAGACACTTGGAGGACCAAAGAGTATGAGCCACCAACTTCATGGGACACCAGCAGCAACATCTTCATCCCGGAGTTCCTCGCAGGCTTTTTGCTGCTTCATAGAAGTGGTCTGGATGCACACGAGCGGGCAAATGTGATGGCATCGATTCGTGGGGAGTTCTCATTGCTCTCCGTGTTTCGCGCACTCCGTGAACAATGGGGAGATGAAGATCTCCAGAAGAGAGACCGCTTGAAGTCCGATGCCTCAGCTTTGTGGGCTGAGGACGAAGAAGATCATGATCTCCAGGGACTGATGGCAGATGATGGCTTCGATGGAATCGAGGCAATGAGCCCAGAAGACCAGGAGGCCTACATGACTGAGCAAGACAAGGTGGAGACCGCCTTGGCTGCCATCCAGGCCCAGAAGGCCACACTTCGTGAGGCAAGGTGGAAGCAGAAGCAGATGAAGTTGGGAAGAGGATTCTTCCCACCAAAACCTTTCCAGCGAGCAGGTCAAGACGCAGGAGGTCAGAGGAGCTCCTCAGGCCAAAAACTTTGCTTCCGGTGCGGAGGCCCACACTTGATTGCAATTGTCCAAAGCCCGCCCAGCAGGCACGAGTTGCTGAAGAGGCAGCTGAGATTGCCTTTGGGGCTTGCGATGGAAAAGGAAGAGAGCAGCTTGTTTGGTCAACAAGAAGAAGGATTGGCAGCCGATGAGACAGTCCATCGGTGCTATGGAGTGATCGATTCCGGAGCCACCTCCTCCTTGGCTTCGGTTGATGCTTTGGAACAGGTGATGAAAGCCAATGTGGCCATGCACGGAGCAACCATGATGGAAGTGGACACAAGTCGTCGTCCCACATTCCGCTTTGGCAATGGGCTCGGGAAGACTGTCAACAGTCACCCTGGGTCTTGGAGCTGGAGAGAAGGCTAGCAAGCTTGAGGTGCACGTCCACGACTCACCAGGTCAACCAATCCTGGTGTCGCGAAAGGCCTTGAAGGCCTTGGGAGCGGTGCTGGACTTTCGAACTGGAGAAGTGATTTACACCAACGTGGATGCCAGCCGGGTGATCAAGCTTGAAGAAGCCTCCAATGGGCATCTTCTCATGCCCATGACGGGACATATTTTAACGGGAGGGGCGACCAGAGGCACCCCCTTCATTTCACTTCACGAGCAGGGACATGACTCTTCTGGCGATATGGACAAAGGTCAGGAGAGCGTGCCAGACACGAGGAGGGAACTGTGTGCAGACAGTTCCAAACAGGTAGGAATTCAAGATTTTTGCATTTGCAAGTTTTGTTATTTGAAAGCATGTAGGTTCGGAGTGTGTGAATTTTGTGAAGAGTGCCAGGAACTCACTGAGGAACATCCCACACACGCACACATGCACAGCCCATATCACACTCAAGTGACTCGTCGAAGCCTTGCTCGTTCAGCTTGTTCGGACATGCCGGCTCCAAGCACGAAAGCTCAGTGGATTCAGAAGTTGAAGGACGAGGACATTGCTGTTCCAAGCGAGTGGACCCTCATCCAAATCAAGGCTCACTGGGCAGAGGTGGTGGAGGAACGTCGCCAGGGACTCGATTCACAGCTGGAGGAAAAGTTGAAGGGCCTCAAAAGGGCATCTCGGAAGAAGTCAGAATTGGTGACCTTCCTTCAGGAGGAGGGAATCAAAGTCCCAGAGACGGCAACGATCAACCAGCTCTTCAAGTTGGGCGAGGAGAAGATCTACCAGGGTTTCCCAGCTTCGGGTCGCGAGAAGGTCGGGTTCGGCAAGCATGGGGATCTGACCTTTCAGGAGGTCCTCAACGACTTTCCTTCGTATGTGACCTGGTGCCAGACCACAGCCCGCGAAGAAGAGCGCCCTTACTGGCGCCTCCATCGTTTGGCAAAGTGGGCAGAGACACAGAAATCCCAGAGCTCCGGGCAGAAAGGCTACGGCGGCACATCCGTCCAGGTCTTCGACATGGCAACCCAGAAGCCGGTAGTCTTGACGGAAGGGGACTTGGCAGAATGGGAGGAGATGGAGATGGAGAGGACTCGAACCACGATCGAATCCAAGATGGGAAAACTACCGGGAGCCTCCAAGAACACCAAGGGCCGTGCATCAGACCTGGAATCAGAGAACCAGGCCTTGCGCACCAAGATCATGGAGCTGGAGGCGGCCCAAGCCGACATGGAGCTGCAGACGGGACGTGTGAAGGGCCGGAAAGAGATGTAGAGTGTGAGTTTTCCGCATTGTCCGAAGGGACCCTCAAGAGGATCAGCCAGAACTGGGGCCCAAGCCAGAATGTTTTCAGTGACAGTTGGTCAAAGCTTGTTTTTCACAACCGTCCCTTGTTGCTGGAAGTGGCTTGTTTTCATGACAGTGTGTTAGGAAAAGAAGTTGAGCGTCGTTTTGGGCTAGGGAGTTGTATGAGGCTGAGCGAGTGGAATGGGGGGAGACCTTGAGACAGAGGCTGGGGTGAAACTCATCAAGGAATTGTTGAGACGACACCGACCAGCGAATGTTTGGATCAGTTGTGAGTGCGGACCTTTTCGTCCACCGCAGAGGTTGAATAGAAAAACTCCTGAACAGAGACATTCACTTGAGGTAAAACAGGCAAAGGCTCGACAACAGTATTTGGGGGCCATTGAGGTTGCTCAAGAGGCTTTTGAACTTCATTTGGATGTTCATTGGGAATTTTCACAGCGCAGTGAGGCATGGGGTTTGCCAGAGATCACAGTTTTTGGAGCGTCACCAGATGCAAAAGGTGACCACCAGTGGCTGCGCAGTGGGTCTCAAGACTAAAGATCAAACATTGCCGTTGTGTAAAGCATGGACAGTAGCAACAAAGAACCCCTTGATATTACAACGGTTACATTTGCCCTGTCAGAAGAACCATCCCAAAGGTCGTTGCAAAGCCGGACAGACAGCACACACAGCAAGATACACAGAGGTGTTTGCGAAAAAGGTGGTTGCTTGTTTTTCAGAAGGTGAGGTGTGGTCAAAGATTGTTCAAGAGATGTCTCGTTCGTGCCCTGAGGACGCTCTCCCAGCTCTGGAAACACCAGCTGAACCTTCCGAGGAGCCAGGAGAGCCGTCCCAGAGGACGAGAGACTGGAGATTGAACAGAAATTACAATACATTCACACAAATACAGGTCATGGTAGTCATCAGTCATTGATGCGTGCTCTTGAACGTAGAGGTGTTTCAGAGAAAGTGTTGCAAGCGGCAAAACAGTGGAGATGTCCACAATGTGCTGTTCGGAAGATTCCGGACCCTCGGAGATTTGCTACTTTGGAGACTTTGGCAGCTAAGTGGGAGGTGTTGGAAGTCGATGCGGGAACTTGGCGACATCCGGTGACCAAGACAAAATGTAATTTTGTTGTCATGGTAGACAGTGGTTCCAAAATTGACTATGTGCAAAGTACTTCATGAACACCCTCACAAAACCGCCACTTGGGAAGACCTGAAACAGTGTTTGGAGGAACATTGGTTTCCCTTGTTTGGACGACCAAAAAGCCTTCGAGTAGATCCTGCAGGTGCATGGTTGAACAAAGCAGCAAATGACTATTGTTCAGAACAGGGGATTTTCTTAGACATGATTCCGGGGGGAGGCGCATTGGCAGTTGAGCACTGTGGAACAACATATCAAGACTATCAAGGGCATGTTGAACACCTTGGGAGCAGAACATCCAGAAACAGCCATCAACCTGATGAGTAGGACGGTGTGGGCAATGAACAACAGGACATGGTATAGGGGATACAGTCCTCTTCAACATGTGTTGGGAAGGGCTCCGGACGCATGTGGCAGAATGTTTGATGATGATACAGTTCGCCCCATCCATCCAGAGCTGATGGGTTCCAGGAGGATGACCAAGTGAGACACAGAGCAGAAAAGGCATTTTTGGATGAGCAAGCAAAACGTCGTTTGGAGAGGGCCGAACGTATGGGACATCGAAGACACCAGATTTTTCTCCCAGGGGATTTGGTGTACTTTTTCAGAAGACAGGTTCCTCACACCGACAGGGGAACTTTCCAGACAGGCCGATTCCTTGGACCAGCAAGAGTATTGGCAACAGAAACACGAAAGGAAGATGCACAATTCCGACCTGGCAGTGTGGTATATGGTTGTACAAAGGTGGTAGACTTCTGAAAGCAGCTCCGGAGCAGGTCAGAAAAGCATCAGATTATGATTGAGGAGTTGCATGGGCCAGTTGAAATACCATGGACCATATCTCAGATGACACAGGACCCATAGAGAAGAGTATACCAAGATATCACCTCGGAAGCCCCAGATGACACTGCATGGGAACAGGCTTTGGAAGAACCAGTGGCTCGAACTCGAGAAGAACAAGGAGCACCACTGCGAAGATTCCATGAAAAAGGTCCGTTGAGTGCAGCAGAACGACCCTCCGCCACCAGACCAGCAGAGAGAAGAGGTGAGAAACAGGATTCGGAGGAAGGGCAAGGTTCCAGCAGCAGTAGTCGACCACGCATTGACTATGTGGCATTCTACAGTGTGGCAGAACATTGCAAAGCATGAGATTGAACTGGAACTTCCACAGAGCAACAGAGGCTGGAAAAAGTTCGCAGCCAATCCAGAAGCATACATGGCCAACCAGATCAAGCGGAAGCAGGTGGAGGTGAGTGAGCGCAAGCTGACACCAGAAGAAGCACAGAAGTTTGCAGAAGCAAAACAAGTGGAGGTACGCAATTTCATAGCTTCAAAATGTTTCCAATTGACAGAAGAGCAACATCCAGAAGAACAGAACATTATGGGCGTGAGGTGGCTGCTAACCTGGAAGTATGACGCAAAGTATGCTGACGGGAAAAAGGCAAAGGTCAGGGCCATAGTGTTGGGATTCCAAGATCCTAGTTATAGTGAACGACAAACATCATCACCAACTCCAACAAAGGCAGGCAAACAATTGTTTTTACAGATGTGTGCACATCGAAGATTCAAGATAGCAAAGGGAGACGTAAGTGGTGCATTTTTACAAGGAGAAGACCTGACGGAGGAACTGTGGTGTCGACCAATACGTGAATTTTGTGAAGAACTAGGAGTGAGTGCAGACACACCCATGTTGTTGCGGAAAGCAGCATACGGTTTAGTTCAGGCACCACTTCATTGGTACGAGTCCATTTGCAAGAAATTGTCACAGTTGGGGTACACACGGTTGACAACAGAACCTTGTTGTTGGGTGTATGTTGACCCACAGGGATGTGTTAGATCCGCAATACACGGACATGTGGATGATTTCATGTTTGGAGGCCGAGCAAATAATTCAATCCACAACCAACTCATGCAACAAATACAAACGGCGTACAAGTGGGGAACATGGGAGTATGACAAGTTCGAACAGTGCGGTATTGTCATTACTCAACATGAGGACAGTTCCATCACATTACAACAGGCAAGATTCCTAGAAGAGGTTGAAGAAATCAGCATTTCAGCAAAGAGGTCAAGGCAGCAGGAGCTTCCAACCAACGACAAAGAGAAGAGCTAGCTTCGGGGCACTTTGGGAAGTCTCAGTTGGATTTGTGGCCAAACAGCATTTATGTTTTCCGTGGACGTAGGATTTCTGATTTCACAGATCCCAGTGGGCACGGTGGCAGAAGTGAACCGAACAAATGCTTTAGTTCGACAGATGAAGAAATGGAAAAATCAGGAGTACACCATGCACTCCTTCAAGGAAGACAGTGTACTTCATGCTATACATTGGAGATCTTCCAAAATATTTAAAATATCCAGAGTGTGTAGGTCACCAGCTGCTGCAGAGACCCAGGCTAGCGTGGATGGTGAGGATGACTTACTATAGTACTTACTATATCTACGGGTACTGTGGTTCGAGATGTGCGGAGGTGAACTTGACCCTCGAGATCCCGATGAAGCTGCACGAACAATACCAGTGGCATTAATCACAGACTCCAAAAACCTGTTCGACAAACTGCATAGACCAACAGTGTGCATCAAAGGAGCAAAAAAAACGTAGTGACATTGAAGCAGTGGCTCTACGTTTGCAGCTTGAGAGAACAGACACACCTATACATTGGGTACACGGAGGTGCCATGATTTCAAACAGTCTGACAAAGGTGTTGGAGAAATACCAAATGTTTCAGTACCTCCAGTTGGGATTTCGCTTCAAAATCGTGTTTGATGAGAACTATGTCTCTGAGAAACAAAGATAAACAAAGACGGAAGCAGGGCATCTCTAGCTTGGCAGGACCGGAACGGAACATTTAGCGTGCACTTCACACACACACTTCGGCTCGTTGCGTTCGGGTGTTTTTGTTGTGGTTAGCAGAGATCCACGGCACTCCAGAAGCAGCAACTCTCAGGATCAACAGGATCCAACAAATTAAGAATTTTTATTTTAGACTTGGATGAGTGCGAATTTGACATTCATCATCCTTCAATGTTGCAGCTCAAAGGACCCCCCCTTAGGTTTGGTGGAAAACGGCCGTCCATCGTTTTTGCACCTGGTACCTCACGGGTCATGGGACACAAGCTCTTAGTGACCCCTTCTTCTCAAAGACCTGAGCATACCTGAAGGCCTAAAGATCTTCCACAACAACACCTTGTTGGACTCACCCTCTCCAACAAAAATGCTGGGAGATGGCGTGGATTCGACGCAGGATTCGACTCCCGGTGCTTGGAAAACAGTGACGTGCTCCCATCCCTTTTTGAGCTGGAGAAAAAAAAAGAATCAAAGAAGAAACAGTGGGAGATGTAGTTTGTTTCATGTGCCTTCCAAAAACTGCCGAAGAAAAGAAACAAGTTTGACTAGGTTGCTTCTCAAAGAAGTTCCAGAGCTGATCCTTGATGTTGTCCGGATGCTCCTGGCTTCATCTCGGCGGTAATGGTCGACCAAGGTCTGGCTTCAAACGATAGTTTTCAGGAGAACAGTTTCCCTCCAGGTGACAAGTGTTCCCCTGAAACGTGTCCCTCTGAATGCAACTTTATAGGTTTCCAAACCCAGCCAAATCCTGAATTTCCTTTGCTTTCACTAGTCCATTGGCTCAAAAAAACATCCATAGAGGTTCAATGAAAATCAACTTTTGCCTGCTCAGAATTCTGAAAGCACGTGCCTCGTTTAGCTACTCAAGTCTGCCTAACAGTTAGCAGGATTTAGCAGGTTTTTGTTCCAAAAACAGGCACTCTTGAATACTTTTGAGCTCATGGACGACCCTCTCTAACTGCAAGGTCCATACTCCATACTGAGATTCGACATTAGCCAGCTTCCATATCAAACCACTGCAGCCCATGTTAAGCGCCTAGCAGCAACCAGGTCTCAAGCAGTAGCAGGTCTCATGGAGGATCAACTTGATCAACGGAACTAGGTCTTTTGGTTCACCTAAAGAGTTACCAAACTGCAGAAAAGCACTGTTTTCCGCCCAGAAGTCTGTCTCGACTAGCTTGAAGCGATCAACTAATATATGATGCGCCCATATGTGTTCCGGCACATATCTTGTTCCGTCATCCTGGCTTTCTTATGATCTCCCACATCGCACACCGAAGCTCTCCTGCTTCTGCACCCAACTCTTCACATACGATCGCCACTGCACACCGAAGGTATCGTCCATACCTTGCGCTGCGCCATGCTGTGTTGCCCTCACCCCCGCATCTTCGCTCCCAAGGTGCAACACGAAGCCCTTTCACCGGCTGCTTCGGCTGCCGAGCTCGGTCGGCGCCGAAACGCGGTCACCTCCGAAACGCTGGGAGGCCGGACACACGATGCCCGCGCGTGTGGCGGTCGCCGGGGTGGCATAGTTGAGGTCCCGGATCTCGAAGATCATCTTCATGTGCACCTGGATGTCGATCGCCATGACTGACGTCGATCCCCCTGGGCCACCAAAAATCCACTTACCCATGAGTTTGGGTACCCCTACGACTGTCATATATGGCATGAAAATGTTTGGCAGTACGGGAGGGGAACCTGAACTGTCAGCTTTGGCGTTGTTTCATCGATGTTCATGCATGGAAACCACCGAACAAAACCTGGACATCCGGCAACTAAGCATGACCAACCACGGAGAAACCACGGGAATCCATATGGAAACCACGACAAAGCTGAAGCATTCCGAACAACTAGCGCACAACTAGGGGTGCACTTGGCGGGGCATAATATATTAAACTGAGGAAGACCCTGGAAGCAAAATTCATCGCTACTCTATGATGTGTGATGTTCTATTTTCTCTAACATGTTTGAAACGCTCTTCAACTCGTGTATATAAACATTGAATTGTTTGTAATTGGCTCTTTGCCACCCCCGAAAAAAAGATCCTCATTCTAGCTGTAAGTAAGGGAATCCATGAAATACATTCTATGACACCAGGTGCGGGTGTGGTAAGTTTCTCAAACACTTTCACGACACTTTGAAGTCCATGGATATGAATATACACCAATGTCAGCACTGAAGGCCTTATGTCCCAAAGCTGAATCCAAGCTGAATAAAGTCACTACAAAGCACTCAACCCATTGGAGCATGTGAAGGCATGTCTGGGTCGCCGGAGATTTGTGGAAGGCAAAGGTTAACAGAACTGTCCACCTGTTCACATACTGCTGTCTTGTCCTTCCAAACGTCTGGTCGCGACCGTCTCTGACACCCTGGTCGCAATAAAGGGTCCAAGAGGCTAATGAGAAAGTATAGTATCACTAACCTGTTCATGTTTAGTGGGGAAACAAATCCCCCCCCACGAATTAAACTTTATCCACTGACTGGGTACATTGTGTGAGCCAAATTCCCAGGCAAACACTTTGACAGGACACGAAAACGAGGCTGTCAGGACCGGAGCTATGAGCAAATCACCTGCACCCACCGCTACCTGCAGTGACCACCAAATCGACGTGAAAAGAAGCGTTCGGAAGTCGGGGTGACGAACTGGCGATCACGAAATGCTGGGCTGGCATAGACTGTTAGTTACTTTACTACGTTACCCTGAAGATCCCTGAGCCATTCCTGCATAATTTGCTTTGGCACACAAAAACATACACTGTTAGACTCTTAGAAACTTCACGAGCCTGGCTCGATCCCCTCCATTTCCATTCCAACAAGTTCCCCAACCATGCGCATGCGCCATCCTGTTCTCGTCCCATCCTGCGCCATCCTGTTCTCGTCCCCCCCAGGTCTCCCATTCACGAGCCTTGAGTGGAATTCGCTCGTTGGATGGCAAAGTCAGCAAACGGTTGTCGTCCATGACGCTGTTCATGGATTCGATCCAGTTGGCATCCAAGTCACCTGTGTCGGTCAATGTCGGTCATCCGCGGAGTTGTCTCGCAGGCTCTCGCAGGGAATGCAAGAACGAAGTGAGCGAAGCGGCCGTAGGAATAGGGATTTGCCCGATGTGGATGCAAGACGAAAGGATAGAACTTGCGAATTTGATGCCAATCGCAAATGGTTCAACATACTGCAATAATATGTATTGTAATACACTATATATGTATTGTGGGTCTTGGAATAGGGAGACCCTCCCAACGGCCAAGCACTCACTTGCGTACTTTCAGAGGGGGTGGGGGGGACGGCTGGCAACAGGCTCTGAAAAGTCAACCACCGGACAATCTATTGGGTGGGTGGGGGGTGGGGAAGACGGTGAAACGAGATTCAACCAACGCAAACGGCCAAGCACTCACTTGGTTGTTACCCTCTTCCCAAGAGTGAAACTAGACCGTTCTCCCTATGTCAAGACACACATCCATATTGACCCATCTTGGTTTGCTTCTAAATGGGGTCGCTGGTTCTCATTTTTTCGCACATCGAATACCGCCAATCTTTCAGATTACTGGTGAGTTAGAAGATGTTAGAAGCATCCCATACAACTTTCAGATTACCAAACCCCAGGTCCATAGGGCCTCAAATCTGATGGCTGCAAGCTACCTTCCTGTCGGGCCACCACCGACCACTCCGTATCTCCCAAACTCCTCCAAGGCACCATCCAACATGATCCACTTGGGATGTGTGTCAGGGACCTGGCCCAAGTCACGCATCACCTAAGCACGGTGTTTCGCACGGCTTCAGCAGGTGATGCGATTCAGAAAGCAATACAGGGACTGAAGGACATGAAGTTCTGCAACACTGTAGCTTCCAGCTCACCAACTACGAGTAACGAATGTATACAAACCTCCCAGCCCATGGAGCGATCTCGTCCGACCGGCCTTGGAGATGATGCCATCCTTCCACTCGCCTTGGATTCACTGGTGGTGGAGGGCGTGACACTGATGAAAGCATCGACAGTCCACGGAGCCGGTCACGGCTTTGCCGAGCCGTTGACACACACACACACACATCCAGTAGAAACTCCCCCCGTACACGGTGCATCCAGTCACTCGCTGGTGACACACACACACACACAAGCACAATGATTCGCAAAATATGGCCATGAGTATGGCCATGGCATGCCAGGAGCCCCTAGTAACTTCTTGTTCCTAGTAGCAAGGCCAGGAGCCCCTATGCCAGGAGCCCCTAGTAGCAATCATTGTTCCTAGTAGCGATGCCAGGAGTCCCAGTAGCGTCCATGCTCCTAGTAGCGATGCCAGGAGCCCCTAGTAGCCGTGCATGCTCCTAGTAGCGATGCCAGGAGCCCCTAGTAGCAAACATTGTTCCTAGTAACGATGCCACGAGCCCCTCGTAGCGTCCGTGCTCCTAGTAGCGATGCCAGGAGCCCCTAGTAGGAAACATTGTTCCTAGTAGTAAGGCCCCTAGTAGCAAACATTGTTCCTAGTAGCGATGCCAGGAGCCCCTAGTAGCGTCCATGCTCCTAGTAGCGATGCCAGGA